ACAATTACACACTTACACAAGGGAACAATGGGTATATTCTTCTATGCTTATTAGTCACCTCCTGATTTATTACCTCCTAATTCATAAATATTCAGCATGAAAATGAAAAACCATATTTGAAATAATAAATATTTAATAGCCAACACATATCTTTGCAAAAGAAATCACAGGCTTAGAGCAGACCATATCAATCATGTGCGTTTAGATAGCTATTAAAAATTAATTTTAATCATCCTCATTCTTTTTCATTCAGTGCATTTGTATTTACTTATTATTATGCAGTAAGGGTAAACCTGTTGGTAGTTCAATTGAATGACTACTAATGACTAGAATTGACGACAAAGAGGGGTTGTGGCTACCTCCTTTCATTAGAAATAGGATTTTCCTATTTACTTTTAAGCAAGAAAACTACATATACATACATCTGTATTTTTTTGAGAGCAAAAACTAACATGGAAGGGGTCTTTTAAATTTATCTTTAGGATGCAAAAAAACAGCTTGGACAGAGCCTTTAAATGGTTGTAAAGGCTCCAGGTTTTTCACCCTAATGCATATTTTATGCATGAAGGTATAAAACCTTCTGTGTGCAGCTCCCCCCCGGCCTCCATAATACCTACCTGAGCCCATCATGATCCAGCAATGTGCATGAGACCCTCCCAGGTCTCTCTCTTCTCATTGGCTGAGACAGCTGCTGTCAATCACAGTCAGTGGGCCAATAAGGAGAGAGAGGGGGCAGGGCCAAGCCACAGCTCTGTGGGTGGATAGACACTTAGAGCAGAAGCCCAGGAGCAAGCCTGCTTGGGTGCCCCCATAGCAAGCAGCCTACTCTGGAGGTACTTGGCAGGAGGGAGGGGCCAAGAGCTTCGGCAGGGGACCTGAGGAGAAGAGGAGGATTGGGGTTGCTCTGTGCAAAACAGAGTAGGTAAGTGTGATGTGTTTGTTATTAAAAAAAAACAAAACAAATATACCTTTAATATCACTTTAAAACCCAGTGTAATTTTATAGCACATTCAATGGAATGTGCATTGTTTCTTTATATATGTTATTCACCTATCATGGTCAAGATGAAAACATATTTTTTTCATTGCAATAAAAAAAAAAAAAAAAAAAAAAAAAAAAAAAAAAGAAGCAGTTAACAGCCCATCTGTGGCAATGACATTGATGTTTGTTTGTCACATATACAGTATATTACCAGTAACACTGTTAGAATGTGTGGTGGAAGAGCTACAACATGCAGCAGCTATTTATCAGATATTGGGGGCCGTAGCTTATGAAAAGAGTAAATATTTTGCCCACTGTAAAGGTAACCCTAAAGCTGTCCCTTTTACAGGGTTATTCTTGACAAACTCTACTAGTTAAAGGATAAGTTTACCTTTTGGACAAAAATAATAAAACGTAAATTTTTTTTGCTGGTAAATAAATATGCATTTATTATTTTTGTCCAAAGGAGCCTGGAAAGCATTGCACCAGTGATCCGTAGATCGCTGATGCCATGGAGGTCTCCTGCAGACCTGTCAGGATATCTGCTTGCTGTACGGGATGTACGGTCAAACAGATATTCTGACAGGAAGCTGCAATGAACTACCACTGCTCTCCACAGCAAATGAGTGATGCGGCCGTGTTGGCCACGCTGTTTTCAAATCTGACAGATGGTACAGGGAAACTTCTCCCTTACTATCTGTCAGAGGGGGGGGGGGGGGGGGGGGGGGGTGCGGTTATGGGAACATGTTAAATGTTCCACCCTAAAAACAGGTGGATCATGTTCCAAAGGTGAACTCCTTTAAGAACAAGGTTGCTTTAACTTTACTATCTGTCTTGCCTTCATTTATCAGCAGAAGTTGCCTAACAAGATGCCCAAAAGGTGCTTAAAGAGGAACTACATAATACATAATACATCTGAGCAGCACAAACTAAAAACACTATTTAATTTGTTTTTATTATTCAAAGCAAACTCATCCATCCATCCATGTCTCCATGCTTTATTTTCCTGAGAAATCACTTTGAAAAACACCTCCTAGCATTCCTGATTGAGGCCATCTTAAATAAGGGCGGTTGATACCTGTAGCATTTACGGCCTGGAATCCATCTGCCGTTTGCTCAGGCATGTAGGCAGGAGGCTGTGCTTGGCTGTGAATATATCTCCTTCCCTCCTGAAGACTCCTTGGATGTATGACCTCATTAGTCTAGACCTGGAAACCAGGAACTAAGGAAATGTAAAAGAAAAAAGTTTAAAACAAGTAAATATGATAGACTTGACTATCTTTTTTTCTAATGCTAACAGCAAGGCTTTTTTTTTTCAGTGGGAACATGGGGGAACGCAGTTCTGACACCTCAAGCAGTGAATGTTGTATGGAAGGGCAAGGGCAAGGGGTACTGAGGTGTGCTGCAGTATCTATTGATGCTGGCTGATAGGGAATCTATTGTCGCTGGAATAGATGTATTTTTGCAGGAGGCTGGTCTGTTGCCTCTGTGGAGGTCTATTGTTGCTTTTAGGGGATCTATTGTAGCTGGGGTTGGGTCTTATGTTGCTGGGGGTCAGTTGTTGCTGGGGGTCAGTTGTTGCTGGGAGAGATCTACTGTTGAACGAGAGGTCTATTGTTGCTGCCTGCTGAAGGGTCGATTGATACTAGCTGCAGGGAGATCTGTTGTTGCTTCCTGGGGTCTATTGTTGCTGAGGGGTATTTTGTTGATGATGGTCCATTGTTGCTGGGGGATATGTTGTTGCTAAGGGGGATCTATTGCTGCTGGGGGGTCTATTGTTACTAGGTGCAGGGGATCTTATTTCCTGCTTTTCTTAACAAATGCTATACAAATTACTGATATGAATGTTCAGTATACAGTATCTCACAGAAGTGAGTACACCCCTCACATTTTTGTAAATATTTTATTCTATCTTTTCATGTGACAACACTGAAGAAATTACACTTTGCTACAATGTAAAGTAGTGAGTGTACAGCTTGTATAACAGTGTAAATTTGCTGTCCCCTCAAAATAACTCAACACACAGCCATTAATGTCTAAACCGCTGGCAATAAAAGTGAATCCACCCCTAAGTGAAAATGTCCAAATTGGGCCCAAAGTGTCAATATTTTGTGTGGCCACCATTATTTTCCAGCACTGCCTTAACCCCCTTGGGCATGGAGTTCACCAGAGCTTCACAGGTTGCAACTGGAGTCCTCTTCCACTCCTCCATGACAACATCACGGAGCTGGTGGATGTTAGAGACCTTGCGCTCCTCCACCTTCCGTTTGAGGATGCCCCACATATCCTCAATAGGGTTTAGGTCTGGAGTCATGCTTGGCCAGTCCATCACCTTTACCCTCAGCTTCTTTAGCAAGGCAGTGGTCATCTTGGAGGTGTGTTTGGGGTCGTTATCATGTTGGAATACTGCCTTGTAGCCCAGTCTCTGAAGGGAGGGGATCATGCTCTGCTTCAGTATGTCACAGTACATGTTGCCATTCATGGTTCCCTCAATGAACTGTAGCTCCCCAGTGCCAGCAGCACTCATGCAGCCCAGACTATGACACTCCCACCACCATGCTTGACTGTATACAAGACACATTTGTCTTTGTACTCCTCACCTGGTTGCCGCCACACATGCTTTACACCATCTGAACCAAATCAGTTTATCTTGGTCTCATCAGACAACAGGACATGGTTCCAGTAATCCATGTCCTTAGTCTGCTTGTCTTCAGCAAACTATTTGCGGGCTTTCTTGTGCATCATCTTTAGAAGAGGCTTCCTTCTGGGGCAACAGCCATGCAGACCAATTTGATGCAGTGTGCGGTGTATGGTCTGAACACTGACAACCTCTGCAGAAATGCTGGCAGCACTCTGGCGTCTATTTCCCAAAGATAACCTCTGGATATATGACGCTGAGCACTTGCACTTAACTTCTATGGTTGACCATGGCGAGGCCTGTTCTGAGTGGAACCTGTCCTGTTAAACCGCTATATGGTCTTGGTTACCGTTCTGCAGCTCAGTTTCAGGGTCTTGGCAATCTTTTTATAGCCTAGGCCATCTTTATGTAGAGCAAATTTTTTTATTTTCAGATCCTTACAGAGTTCTTTGCCATGAGGTGCTATGTTGAACTTCCAGTGACCAGTATAAGAGAGTGTGAGAGCGATAACCCCAAATTTAACACACCTGCTCCTCAGTCACACCTGAAACCTTGTAAAACTAACGAGTCACATGGCACCGGGGAGAGAAAATGGCTAATTGGGCCCAATTTGGACAGTTTCACTTAGAGGTGTACCACTTTTGTTGCCAGCGGTTTAGACATTAATGGCTGTGTGTTGATTTGATTTGAGGGGACAGCAAATTTACCCTGTTATACAAGCTGTACACCCACTACTTTACATTGTAGCAAAGTGTCATTTCTTCAGTGTTGTCACATGAAAAGATAGAATAAAATATTTACAAAAATGTGAGGGGTGGACTCACTTCTGTGAGATACTGTATATGTAAAGCGCTGCGTAAATTGATGGTGCTATGTAAGTACGTGAAATAAATAAATTACTTGGCACCACAAAATGATACTTGGTTCTGTATTCTCTAAAAGGGGCGTTACTGGGAGGGTGGTAGGGGTGGAACCAAAGAACTGTTCTCGGAGGTGGGTGGGGGGGGGGGAAGACAAAGGGTGCCTCTGAAAGGAGGAGTTCCTGCACCTATTTGCTGAGATTAAAATCCGTGGCTAACCGCATAAGGATTAAAAATAGTCAAGGTTGATTGAGAGAGTGAAGTTCCTCTTTAAAGGGTCATGACTCTATTGTGGTCTCACACACCAGTTTTGGTGAAAGCCATTTAACCTATCAGTTAAAATTGTGGAAATAAGCTGTATCCTTGGGTAGAGATCCACACAGACCTGAAGACAAGTCATTTACAGAATCACAGACTCAGAATTGGTTGTTTTCAGAACACAAAGTTATGCAGGCCACAGATGGGTCGAAAATCGGCCGATTTTTCGACCGAAAATAAAATCGGCCGATTTTCGGATCGTTAGTGGGCGATTTGGTCGGCCGTTTTTTTCGGTACTTTGGCCGTTTTTTTTTTTTTCGGTAAAGTTGGAAAAAAATCGGCCGATTTTGCCGATCGGCCGATTTTCGCGGCAATTAGTGGGCAAATCGGCCGATTTTTTACCGATAAAAAATCTGCGCATGAGCAGTGACCTGCAAGAGGAAGACAAAAAGAGGAAGAAGATGAGGATGAAGAAGAAGAAGATGAGGATGAAGAAGAGGATGAGGATGAAGAAGAAGAGGATGAGGATGAAGAAGAAGAGGATGAGGATGAAGAAGAAGAGGGTGAGGATGAAGAAGAAGAGGATGAGGATGATGAAGAAGAGGATGAGGGATGAAGAGGATGAGGATGAGGATGAAGAGGATGAAGAAGAAGAGGATGAGGAGAAGAAGAGGATGAGGATGAGGAGGATGAGGATGAAGAGGATGAGGATGAAGAAGAAGAAGAAGAAGATGAGGATGAGAAGAGGATGAAGAAGAAGAAGAAGTAGGATGAAAATAAGAAGAATTCCAGTCCAGCAAAAAGTGTCTGCAGAGAGCTCCGCTATTTCTGACAGTTCTCTGACAGTTCTTTGACATTTACAGCGGTTGCAACAATGTATCTATTTGTTTCCGAATAAAAACATCTGTATCCTAAATGGAAAACAAATAGATACAATGTTTCAACCGCTGTAAATGTGAAGGAACTATCAGAGAACTGTCAGAAATAGCGGAGCTCTCTGCAGGGACACTTTTTGCCAGCTGTAGAAGGGATGAAAATCGGCCGAGTTTTTTTTTTTTTTTTTTTTTTTTTTACCATTGATGGTAACGTCGGCCGCTTGAACGACCGAATTTTCGTTTTTTAAAAGAAAAATCTGCCGTTTTTCTCCCCATCTATGGCCTGCATTACTGGCAACTTTAGGCATTGCTTGACCTAATCAAACTATGCTGAAAATTTAAAAAAGAGTCCCAGGTATGTAGTCTTTTTAGCCCTGTCCATGCCATAGAAGCGCAGTCCGGTTGTGTTCTGTATGCTCGTTTTTTACATGCTCCAGTGTGTTTTTTTTTAATGCGTTCTGTTTCTTTTTGTTCCTCTACCCTTTTTTTTTCAACTTAAATAAGGCCATGTGCATTCTGGTGTGTCTTTGGAGTATACCAGTACGTTTTTGATGCATTTTACTGCGTTCCAGTACAGATCAGTGCAGAAGAAAATGCAGCATGTTCTACTTTTTTTTCTGGAACTGACTGCACTGGTGTGAACTATGCCTTTGAAAACCATGTAACCTACTATCAATGCGTTTTTGATGCAGATTAAAATGCACTGGACTGCATGTGGTGTGAACTGGCCCTTTATGTCCATGCTTGGCGTTCAGGCTTGTCTGAAGACCACCTGTAAAATTGATTAAAATCTTTGGACCAATCGCACATGCAGCCATTACCTTCCCCACCTGATCCATTATACAATGATTTAAGTAGCAGAAGACCACTTGGAGTAGACCTGGTCATTACTGTGGAAACGATTTCCATTTTGAAGTGTTCCATCTTTTGTCACAACCTATATTACAGTCAATTTCTGTTTAGAGGGGCATTAGGATATTATATTTGTTGTTCCATTTCTTTTATTTTCTTTTTTTTTTTTTGCTGTAAAACCATTTATACTTGTTTTTATCAAAATAAACCAGCACAAAAAAATTAATAAAAAAAAAAAACTGAAAAGCTATTTGATAAATAACAGTATATGATGGTCGCTAATGGGCTTTTCTGAGAATCTGATGGGAATTAGTTCAATTTATGGTTCAACTGGAATCTGGAGTGGCGATAGAAAAATTCATTTTGAAAACCTTTTATACCATGTCATTCTCATTTCCTTCCATTGCTCGATGGAGACGATTCGAAGATAAGTCAGGTCAAGATATTATTCGTTGTGGCATAATAACAAGCAGGATGCAGCCTCTTTAAAATCAATAGCATCAAACATAATTAAGGGAAAAGAAATAGATTTTTTAGATAAACTGCACTTTTTTTTTTTTTTTCTTTTTTAAAGTTGCAATTTTACTTAGAATTACTGAGCAGTTTAACCACTTCAGTACAGGGCACTTTTACCCCCTTCGTGCCCAGGCCAATTTTCAGCTTTGTTGCACTTTGAGGCTAGGTTCACACTAATGCAGTGCAGTACATCGCATGTGATTCGCACAGGAACCGCACATTATGTATGGCTCAAATCGCACCGGCCACCAAAAAGATGCAGGACCCTTTTTTGGGTTCGCACTAGAATTGGATCGCATGGGTATTCACACCTATGCGATGCGATTCTGCACATCGCACCGTGTTTTGCAGACCGATTTTGGGGTGTTAACTTAACATGCACACCCGCATCGGTTCGCATGAATGAGGTGCGATTGTGGTGCGGAATTCGCACAGAAATCGCTGCGAATTCCACACCGCATCAGTGTAAACCCAGCCTTAATGACAATTGTGTGGTCATGCAACCCTGTACCCATAAAAAAGTTTTTTTATTTTTCACGCAAATAGAGCTCTAGTTTGATGGTGTTTAATTACCACTGAGTCTTTGGGGTTTTTTTGCTAAATAGACAAAAAAAAAACCGTAAAAAATAACAAAACGTTTTTTTCATTTCTGTTACAAAATTTTGCAAATAAATTTAGGTCAAAATGTATTCTGCTACATTGCTTTGGTGAAAATAACCCAAATCAGTTTATATTATTTCGTCTGTAGGAAAGAGTCCACAAACTATGGGATATATTTGAAAATTGATCAGTACAGAAGTACTGATGGCCAATCTAATTTCTTGAGGCTTGAAAATGCCAGTATAGTACAAATACCCCCCAAATGACCCATTTCTGGAAAACACAGTCCAAGGTATTTAGTAGGAGGCATGGCGAGTTTTTTGAAGTTGTAATTTTTTATCACAATTTTTTTGGAATATAAAGAAATTAAAAAAAAATTTACAAATTTTTTTTTTTTTTTACATGTTGTCACCAGTCCAGTACAATGTTATCGTATCACTGGTGTGGCGGTGATCATGGGCACTGATTGGTGACAGTATGTAAAATAAACAAAAATAATTAAATTATTTTTTTTTCAATTTATTCGATTTATTTTTTTCTTAGTTAAATTTTTTTTAGCACACTGTGACCATAGTAACATTCTTTTTCCACAAATTATGATTGCTAATACCAATGTATTTCATTGATATTAGCAACCATTTTTACTGAATGAAACTGATTCATTCAGTCTTTTGTTGTGATTAGCTGTGATTGGGCAAAGCTCATCACATGGTACATATGGGCTGTGATTGACCCTGTCTGTACCTTGTGACCGCTGTGACCAATCACAGCTAACACAATTGTATACAAGGATGGCATGAAAGCAAACCATCCATTGTATACAATTCTCATGTGGTCTGCTGTGATTGATCAGCAGCACCTTCTGACAGGATGTCATATGACGCCCACTCAGGAGGAGTGTCCCACCCGGCTGTTAGTCTGCAGTAGGCCAGGTGGGAAGGTGTTAATACCATTGTTAGACTAATGCCTTTCCAAGGGAAAATCACTGCTTTTTATTTAACCTTTTATATGCGTTATTTTATGTGTGGTTACTTGCAACATTTAAGGCTAAGTAACTTTTTATAACCGCTAAGTCTCTAATTAGTCTTTTTGTTGCTAGGAAAAAATGAATTGCAGCCAAAGAGAAGTTTTTGTTAACATTGATCCTAGTAATTTGTGATGGAGTTTGTGGTTAGCTTCAAAATAGCATCAATAGCTGCTAGTGGTGCACCGAAATGAAAATGAATGGATCAAAACCGAAAATTCAGGATGCGTTTAGCCAAAAACTGAAACTGCAATGGACAGTTTAAAAAAAAAAATTAATTTTTTTATATAACTGTATTATATTCGACTTTTTCATTAATATAATGAATTTTAATGAATATGAATTTATTTTCAGCACCTTTTCGGCCAATAGGCTGTTTTCACACTGAGCAGTTTTTTGCAGCGCTTTTGCATTAAAAAAAGAGACACAAGAAAAGCTGAAGAAAAATGCACCCCTTTAAATTCAATGTATGTCATCACATTGGTCCGTTGCGCTTCACTTTTATGTGTGTTAAAAAAATCCTGCTTGCCACATTTTTGATGCATATTTGGTGAGTTACAACAAAAAACGCACCAAAAATGCACCTACCCATTTAGGCCTGGTTCACACCAATGCGCTTTTTTAGGGCTTTTTGCAGAAACTTTCAAAATTCCATTTAGCATGGTTTCCTATTGGACACATTCACATCTATGATTTTTTGAGCTGCTGTGTTTTTGGAAAGGGTCAGGGACTTTTTTTTAAACACAAAATGTTGCATTTTGGTTCAATAGATTTCAAAGGAGGCACTGCAGAAAACACATATAGTGCGTTTTTGACACATTTTTCATGCGTTATGTGCAAAACGCATAAAAAAAAACACATAAAATATTTGCGTTCAAAAGCATGCATGTAAAAACGCAAAACACACTGCAAAACAAACAGAATGTAAACTGCATTAGTGTACACCAGACCTGCAATGCATGAAATTGCAGCAAAACGCTTGTGTTGTGTTTTTGATGCATTTTGCGTTTTTAATTTGCCCATCAACTAGTTGGTTAAAAAAAAAAACAAATATGTCAAAAATGCGCATGCAAAAACACAAAACACACTGCAAAATGGACAAAATGCATTGGTGTGAACCAGGCCTGAAATGCATTGAAAACACATCAAAAAAGCACACTTGTTAAATTTTTTATGCATTTTGCTTTTTTAATCTGATCTGTCCAGCAACAAGTTGGTCCCCAAAAAAAGGAAAAAACGTATAAAAATTGTGGGTGTGCAAAAATGTGCATGCAAAATTGATAAAACGCAACCTGCACTGGTGTGAACCAAGTCTTAACTGCATTGAAAACACAGCAAAAACACATATAAAATGCACGTGTTGTGTTTTTGATGTATTTTGCGGTTTTAATCTGCCCAGCAACAAGTTTGCAAAAAAAAATTCAAAAACGCATAAAAAAAAGTGCGTACAAAAACATGCATGCAAAATGGACAAAACGCGAACTGCATTGGTGTGAACCAGGCCTGAAGTGCATTGAAAACATAAAAAAAGCACGTGTTGTGATTTTAACGTGTTTTGCATTTTTAATTTGCCCAGCAACAAGTTGACCAAAAATAAATTAAAAAACCCACAAAATGCATTAAAAAATGGCTCAAAAACACAATTCAAAACGGACGAAACACAAACTGCATTGGTGTGAACCATGCCTGAAATGCATTGAAAACCCATCAAAAACACACACGTGTTGTGTTTTGATGTGTTTTTTTAGTCATAAGACATATGATGACCTATGAAAAAAGCGCCCTAAATGTGGTAAAAATCACGTAAAATTGTGCGTTTTCGGCGGCCATTATCAGCACCTTTTTGTCCTATCAGCAA